GAAAAGTAGTAGGAAAATATAATGAAATTGTTGACAGGTTTACATCTACTCTGAATGGAAATTGTTGTTGTAAACTAAAGCATAAGTATGAAAATCTGAAAGTGACAAGAAATGACCCGAAATTTTGACAAACCAGAAACTCCATTAAAGCAAAATAATAAAACTAGAGCTTTATTGAGATCATGAATCGATCAACGTTAGATCACCATAAAAAACCTGAAAGCACTGAACGGTCATTTCGTCCCAGTATGGAACTCCTCAGCGATAAGTATCTACAGTCCCGTACGCAAAAATCAAACCCAGGACCTACAGTCTCATGCACAAACGCTTAACCTCCAAACCACCAAGTTAGCATACAACGACTATGTGTTACCCCTGGCCATAACCTTGTTTCGTTTCTGACCTGATACCCAATCCTAGAATTGTCTATTAAATACAAACTAACCTTAATACCAACGTTCTAAAGGATCTCTGGCATCCATTGGATTTTCTCTATGCAGGTATCTGTCATATCCCAGCACAATCTATGTTTAAAGCTATCCATGTCAGTCATAATATCTAAATGTTATTTCCTGTTTATACAGATAAAGGAGAAACTAGTTATCACCGTTCCGAATGTGTAGCGTTTTTTGCATTGTTCCAGCATATTTGAGTTTTTCTGTTTATTGCCACGCCATTTGATTACTGATTTACTTCAATTTTAAATGATTCCAGAAGTTTACTTTTCACCAGTGACATGTTTTTCATGTAAAATAAGATGATCTGTTCTGCTTTCTCAGACATCGATTTACAGTTACAGTCTTAAATAATAACTTCACAATACTACTAACTGTAAACTATTTAATTTTGTGCCATTTCCCTTCATCTAAACGGTTCTGTCATAGACGCTTTTTAGTTTGTAGGAATTTTTCGTTCTCTGAAGAAATGGCTTTAACTGAGTCACGAAGCGTCAGAAAATTTAATTTTCCTACTCATTGGGACTTTAGAATTATATTACTTTTGGCTTTTAGTTAGTTACTAACCTGTACATTTTCCTTTTAGCATATTTCACTATCGCCATACTACATCGTTGATAAAATGATAGATAGCTTGAAATAACTTTGAACGACGACTCAGCTATACAAGAAACTTCCCATGGATATCCATGGCTCAATAGGATGTTGAGAAAGTAAATTATTGACATGTCTTTCTGTAGATAGTATTGAAGATAATCTAATCCTAACCGAGTAGAAATTACTTAAAAATGAGTATTTCTTAACCTTACTGAAAGAAAATGCAAAAATACATTTTTACCTTATTAACTCAGGCACATGATTTAAAGCTGATGTTTATCAATACGTAATTTGAATACAAGTATGATCACAATGGGCAAATAAACGTTTGGTGGACAGCTCTTTTTAACACTCAGTTGAATAACTATCTAATGATTTAATTTACGACGGCAAAATATAAACCTGAATAAAACAACAGGAGGTTTATGATAAAATATCCAATAATTGTTTGAACATCAACCGGTCAACTGGTTAAGATGCTATAACCCTATCTATCAAGTAATTTTCTTGTGAACAGATTATTTGGAAAATATGAGAATAAAAGAAAATCTAGGCTTTAGTTCGTTAGCCCATACAGAGTCGTGTAAACAGGGAGTACGATGTATTACAGATGGATATGGACACAATTCAAATAATATTGGGATTTAGATCTTGAATAACGGAGGAACCTTCTAGTTTCTTCAAACGAACGAAGAGGTAAATACATGTATTCTGTCTACCCAGACACGGTTTACCTGACATGCCTGCCAAGGAAGCCATAAATGAAAATTTAAATCCGGAATAAAATAGGTCTAGACAGTTAAGTGCTGTCTGAAGTGGGGTTAAAAAACAATGTATTATACTAGATTTTCTGTACTTGTAAGCGCTTGGATATCCAAAAATCTAACCTATCACTTATTATTGATTAATAAAGCAAGCACGATTGGAATGATGATACGAGATAAACAAGAACTAGTCTGAAGCAATGAATGACTACGTGATCAAATAGGTCATGGCTCGTATTTCATGGTTTACCAGGAAAAACAAATTTAAGTAGTTCAAACAACTAAACAGTAATGTCTCCGAGTTTCAAATCTACAAGATATGCCTTTGCTTTCATTGCTAGCACTGAATTCATGGATACGGAGCCAAAATAAAATGATAGAAATTAGTCATTTTTAGTCATTAGGAGTTCACTTCAATCCCACTTGAGGCTTAATATAATGTAGCCTCACTAATTAGAATATTAACTGAACGACCGAATTAACCGTTGGCTGTATAATTTCTTGACTTTAGGAAGATTCAGCTACTACTTTTCGGAAATCTATATCAATTTACTTTCCAAACCAGAATATAAATATCAACTCTGCAAGCTTTATCTAACCATGATGATATTAAAGTTATAGACCTCTGACCTTAGTTTAGACAATTTAAACAGGTTATTTTGAACAGAGAAAATCAAGACTAATTTATTCTGCATTTAGAACAGTTTTGAAAAAATATTGACTTTATGTCAAAGAACTAAGGCAGTGACATTTACTTCGTTCAATGTTTAAGTTATCAGTAACAAGCAACGCAGAGCCTGGTACAAGAATGCGTTATTTCAGGTATCCACACTAAATGAGCACAAAACGAACAGAGGAAATTCAAAATAATTGTGATTGGTATGATAGTGAGAACGACCAAGGATTAGAAATAGTTTGAGAAAGTAGAATGAAAAGCTTTGAATAAAAAATTACCAGAACTGAAGGAAGTAGGTGATGAATCACATAGTTACAATAGGGTTACATTTGGGAACTGTCAAAATAGCAATTGGGAAGCAAGTGGAGTGATCATCTGACCTCTTGACAAGAGCTACATTAGCCTGTGCCGGAAATAAGGTACGGAAAAATAAAAATCTCTGTTGAATTTTAAATTCTCAAAACGAGAGGTTACCATAGGAATAATATTGGACGTAGATTGAACAGAAGTCAAGTAATCGGTAAAAAATAGCCATTAAAATCGGAAAATATGAAATAATTCAAGATTTCAAAAATATAGAGGACTACAATTACTAATCATCTAAGGGACAGTATGTTTTGTTACTCGATAACTTGTTATTCATGTTGATTAACTGAAAATACGACGAATAGTGCTCATTACTAACAGCATGATTCCCAGGACTATACTAAGACATTAACAGTGTGAGCTATTGTAGTGGTTTCGTGGTGTGTACTATTGATAACGGCAAATATAAGTAGAACGTACCACTAGTAGAATGTGAAATGCCTAAAGGCAGATGGTTGAGAAAATTGAAGAGAACAAGAGCAGAGAGTGATTGGTATGGAAACGGAGCAACAAAGTCTGAGACAATCGATGAATATTTTGCAAATGAAGTATTACCGTGTGGTTGTCAGATTTTACCAAGATATTCTGTAATGTTGTATCAAAATGCATTTCGTTGTCTCGACTTGTGTTCTCGTTCATTATAGCTCATCTTAAACCGATTCGGACCAATTTGCCTAATTGCTAGAGTGCTATTACTAAACGAATAACCAATCTAATTATCAAGTATACTAAAATGTGCTTTCAGACTACATACATACAATCCAGACGGTATCAGTAATTCCGATGTGGAGCATCTACTTGGTGATTAACTCTAGGTTTGTTGACTAAGCTTAAATCTACATTGAGTGCGGATGCTGATAACACTACTTATGTCTGGATGGTTCCAACCCGTGAACCGGTTAGCCAAATCTTAATGAGGCAGCAGAGAAAAGAAATACCAATCAAGTAATAACAACAATATCACCCCACCCAATACTATAAGTTTTGTTACATTAAGGAATGTTCAACACCAGTCGTGCGATATGAGTACAAAGTTCTGTTTAACATGTTTTCAAATTACGACTACCCAGAATTACTTTTTATAAATGTTTTCAATGAACGATGGTTCGCCAACATACAACTATAAAATAAGGCTTTAATCTTATTTAGGGACACCATCTTTAAAAGTACTTACCAATTGAATATGCTAGTGAATTAACGTTAAATATTGAACAAATTGGGCGAATTATATGTCACTTAATGGTAAACAATATCAAATGTTTCAAGACAGCATATCTGAATGAATTACCATCGAACCTTACCATATTGTTGACAACAGCTTGACACAGGCATCCCAAAACTGAGGACAGGTGTCATACCCTATCAACAGAGAGGTGAACTTATCAATAATACTAAATTAGTAGTACTCAGTGGTGAAGATGCGGAGAATATCGTTCGATAAAATCGCAGAATAAAAAACATAACTTCGAAATCTAAGATCAAGAGAATTACATTTGCGTCATCATAATCGCCCTGGGGTCAACATAATGGTTTGTATCTACTTACAAAACCTAGATAAGCAACCAGTAGTTTTATGGTTTGGTACCATGTTTCGGTTTATCCACCTCTACCTTTCGTACAAACCGTTCATACGGCAGGTTATTCACGGATGGAGGTGGTCAGATATGAGTCAGGCGTGTCCCACTTACTTGAAACAACTTTTCAGTAGCAAAACGTCGCCTATTTGTGTGGAACGATGAAAATAGATTACTTTAACATCTTTATTCGCCTTGGTTAATCAATAAACATTACACTTGTCGAGGAAAAACAATTGCTCCAATTAAGCACAGCATGGACAGAAAAATTATACCGGAAAGTAAATAAAATGATAGGAACTCAACAAAAATATAAGAGAACATATGAATACTTGAATTTTAAATCATATGGACTAAATAAGTAGGAAAGTTCAAGTCCCATTAGAGTGAGTAATATATGTGCGCAAGTAGGAAAAACAAAAACTAAAATATGTCAGGAAAACACGGGTGACCGAAGGCACAGATTAAAAATGAATATACAGTGACAAAAGCACTAAACATAAAATTCTGCAAGAAGCTTATGTGAAGAGCAAGAACATTAGAAGACCAGATGAAATAATCCGAATTATTACTCGTGGCTACTAAATGTAGTCGCTCGTCCAGGATTCGATGAGACGGTCCTGGAACTACTTACACTATTATTACGATTTGATAACGGTTTTCGTAGTTGACTTCTGCCAAATTGCTCATTTCCACTAGATGTGGATTTTAATGCAATAGTATTTTCACTAACCGATGTAAATTGGTTTTCTTTCTGAGAGGTAGCAAACAGAGGGCCATTTTGCAAACGATTTGGTCCATATGGATTTTGTCGACGATTCCCAGTATTGCTGACTGTTGCAGATCCTCTCAGTCCACGACGCTGGCCACAAGGCTGTGAGCGGTAGTAATTATCGCTTGACTTATTGAACTTTTTTTGATTGCCATCCTGATGTTTGGAAGGACAAATATAATCTTCACTCGGATTTTGATTATGGGAAGATGAATGATCTATCGTCACTTGGTCATCTTCCTCAACAGCAAAAGTCACTAATGACTGATAATCGATGTAACTGTATGTGAACGGATAATATGGAATCGACGAACTATTTAACCAAGATTGTCTTTTGGGATAAATTAGCAGAGGAACAGCTATAAACAGTCCACTGTTACAAGCATTGACTAGAATATCGAGAAATCCATGAGATGAGTATGGTTGTGAATATGGTTCACCGAATGCCACAGAAGCTCGGCAACACGTCTCCATACGTACAGCAAATGCATGAACGCGACCACTATTAAAGAATGTTCGAAGTATGTGTAAATCAGGAATATCCGAATAAACAGGGAATGCGTGAGCCCAGCTAACATGAATTGCTTGATAAGGAACCTTCATATATTTAGCCCTACAAAGATGTAGACAAACATGAAGAATTATTACTTTAACATAAACGAATGTATATAGAAAATATTTAAGAGTATTAAGGGATTTAATGCACAAAATTACAAAGAAATAAGTCAGGTAAACAATACTTAATCCGAAGCCACATTTGTGGAATCACTAAACATAGGATTTAAAAACCAATACTTTAATCACGTTGCGACAAATATGTATATGCTATAAGTAACTATGAAAATCACATAGGGCCAACATGAGGCTGCAAAAGTTTTTTAGTAAAGTTGAGTTCAATTCTTGTTTGTTTATTTATGTCAAACAGATGAAAATATGGATGTAGAACTTGTCATAGTTAAATTAGTTTGTGTTTCATGTTGTTCTGTGTACAATTTGTTATGATGAAAAATGGTCTAATTCGGTTAAACGAGAACATTCATACATTACTAATTTTGAGCATTTAACTTTTAGATAGAACTCCCGATGACTAAAGTATTTGATTGTCCGTAAAACATTTAACAACCAAAAAAGTCACAATTAATGTTTATTCTAGATTTGATCGATAGGCTTGGCAAACCAAATACATGCTGTTAAACTACTTTACTATCATTCTTAATCCACTAAGCAAAATGTGATTTCTGAATCAGCAGTTTAAATACTTGTGAGCTAGTCATGCAGTTTTTAATGACATTCAGTATTTCAGTGCATATAACTTTATTCGGCGCGTAGGTCATTTAGTAAACCAAATGGATTACCGAAGCGGAACGTTAACCTCTTCCTAGTATATACGCCACAGCTAACAAGTCAAAAAATATTAGCGAGGTTTTAAAGGGGGAAATATGGTACGGTGTATTCGTATAAGACCTACATAAATGGATGGACACTAGTTTCACTGAGGGTGTCTAACGGTTAAAACCATGATGTGGAGGTTGGGATTATATCAGTGACGCCAACAATTAATCAACCATTTATTGTTACTTTGAGGCTGCTATCTCAAGTGTCTGTAAGTAACAGCTATTAGTATGTATACTGTTGGATTGTGATTGGCCACTTGAAAGCAAAAGTCGCATCAAAAACTAGGCAAAAGGGTAGATGATTACAATCCACAACAGAAAATTTGGAATGAAAAATAGAAACCAGTTATTTGTATGAAGGAAAGTCCAGCCACTTCGGTTTACTAGCAAACCACTTAAATTCTAAATTTGTAAGAGCCCCAACACTTGATAGAAAAGTTTACGGGAGAATAGTCTGTACGGTAATTTGGCAGCCTGAATGTACTTAATTTGTGGAACTCCTCGTTTATCTTCAGGAGTAAAATATAAGGAATCTGCTTGACGAATAACTGCACATTTTTTGGATGGTAAACAATGAAAATCACAATATTCAGTTGCTTACTTTACTACGCTATTCATAAACAGTCAATTCCAAAAATCTAAGTGGAGTAAACATATATTTTGCGATCACGGCGCGGCCTAATTATTAAGACACCTAATTCTCGAATATTCGGTTGTTCAAACACCGCTCAGTGCGCTTTTATTTAAGTAGCAATATAGCATCTAACAATAAGTGGATGTTGATGCACTAGTTTTACACTTACGTGAGAGGATTGTTAAATAGATACAACTGGAAGGCAACACAATTGATGCAATGAATGGAAATTCGTAAATATTTGATGCAGATAAGATTTACTGGATTTTCCAAGCAGTCAGTCAGTCAGTAACAACGTAGAACTTCGTACGTACGTACATCAGTTCGAGTTGCCACACCACATTAGCACAGAGATGCACTTGTCGATTCAAATCCCGTAGTGGTAGAGGTAATAAGAGTATAAGCAGTAATCGGGAAGATTAGGGTTTGGAGATGTTATTTAAAGAGTATAATCCAGTGAAAGAAATTTGGAAAGAGGAAAAAAGGGACATGAAGAATTCAGAAGATTAGAATTTGGGAGAACACAGAGAGTGGATGCACCTGCGCCATTGCAAACGATTTTGAGCCATGTCATTCAGGGTCTCTAACCATCGGTTGCTGTCATCTCGCGGTCCCCAACCAGGTAGTCTACACCTACCAACATGACTCAGTTCACTTGTCAGTGACTTCATGGACTTGTGCCATGTTTTGGTTTGGCCGCCCCTAGCTTTCTTCCAACCTACTCCTATACCACTGAACATAGCACGTCGAGGCAGTCGGTCGTTGGGCATACGTAACACGTGTCCCAGCCATCTCAACTGATGAAGTTTCACTACTTCATCAATTGATTTGCCATCCTTACCTAGTACCCGTTTCCTAACAACTGCGTTACTTACTCGATGGTCCCATGATATATGAGCAATGTTTCGAAGACACCTATGATCAAATACTAGTAACCTACGGATATCCTCTACTCTTACCGGCCATGTTTCACTGCCATAAAGTAGGACGGAACGAACTGCTGCGCAGTAAACACGTCCTTTGGTTGATAGACGGATATCTCGCCTACGCCATAAATGACGCAAGTTGGCAAAAGCTAGTCGAGCCTTCTGTATCCGTGCTGAGATTTCGTCACACACTAAACCACAAGGGCTGATGAGACTTCCAAGATAAGTGAAGCGGTCGACACACTCAACTACTTCACTCCCTATCACTAGTTCGGGTGTCGATGTAACCCAATCCTGAAGCAACATTTTGCATTTCGAGGGAGAGAATCGCATCCCGAACATGCTTGCATTGTTGTTTAGAGTGGTCAAAAGACTGCATTTTGTCAGCGTCTTCACCAAATAAAACTATGTCATCAGCATATTCTAAGTCAACAAGTGAACCTCCTGGTAGAAGTTCAACCCCTGTAAATTTAGATGAGGAGAGTGTTATCTCTAAAAGTACGTCAATGACAAAGTTGAACAAGAATGGGGAGAGCGGACAGCCCTGACGAACACCACTTGAGGTGATCAAATTTATTTAAAATGTCATAAAACAATCTTAAAAGGAAAGATCCTTTTAACTTAAACCCTGTAAATAAGTACGACTAACCTGATTTTTCTTAATTTATTTAGCTGCACAATACCGAATGTCCCATGGTCTAGCAAGTAGTAGAACGCTACCTTTGGCCAGGTAGGATAAACACTAATTATAAGCGCCCTTGCAAATCCCTGACTATGTGGAACTACAGCAACTGTTCCTGATGTCACTGGTTCACAAAGTTGCATACGGTAATTGTTGTTGGTTGAGTAATCTTTTTCAAGCTCTTCCTGCATAGCTAGATAGTTGCTGTACTCTTCGTCAGGTACTGTTACGAACAATTCCTTTGAACCATAAAGACTACGAATCTGCACCGGAACCGGTTCACCTAGAGGAAGTTGACGCTAAATTTATCGATTACATCCTGAAAAAATACTAACCTTCAGTTGGTTTGGGTTTCCAATTGTTGTTTTGGAGGGTCTCATTCTGAATCGATGGGATACCCAGCGTAGCACATCATTTTTGTGTCTAAGTGGGCATGATAATTTGAAGATCAGAGTGTCTTGTTTTCCTGGGCAAGTATTTAAACTGAATTCGGCCTCCCATGCATTTCGCAGCTCTCTAACATTCCTGAAGGGATATGACAAAAATAAAGAAGACTCACTTTCCTAGCCGCCCAATCAAAACGCCACCCATGTAGGCAGGTATTAAAAATGTTTCGTGCCAGATATCTCTGTCAACGACTTGAGCCCACATATCACTAGGAATGAGCACTCTTGGCAAAATTTTGCCATCCAACTCTTCGGGGTTAGCTTCATAAATGTCATTCGAAGGGTCACTGAAACCTTCAGGTGGAAGGGTAATTCCACAAAAATCACAATTGGAGTCGGGCGTCAGTGCTCGATCAGACTCAGATCCTGAGACAGAACTATTGTTCAAGGTAGAAACTACTGTCTGACTGGCCGCCATTGCTAACAATCCGGGTGCTGTGTCAGAAAAAGTTAACGCTACAGGCAGTAGTGATTCCAAGAAAGAAATACTTTCCAATTCCAAGTTTTGTTCTTTCAAGACTACTAAACGTTCGTTAGTAAATTTTGTCTGTACATCAAAATAGAATTTTAGCGGTACCTTGACAAAAGCGGCTGTGAGAATGGTAAGTGGATCGTTATATTCAATGTCACTAATTAAATCCTAACAACGGTAAGCGTAAATTTGTAACTACTTGAACAGCAAAAGATTCCTCGCTAAACTTAGTACCACTGGCGTCTGATTGTGACGAAGATACAGGATTTTCAGTAATTTTTATCGGGTTGTTACTGTTGGCCGCTCTGTGCTTACGTCTTTTTCGATAACAATGAAGCAAATATATCAAAGTAACAGCACAAGTAGAGTATATAACCAGCCTACTTGCTGTAGGCATGCAGTAAACTTCACTCCAAACCTGTTAAACTGAGTTAAGAAACAAACAAACAACAAACTTACTACCTAAACTAAACCCGTTGAGTCCACAACGTGCAACACATGCGTGATTTCGAGAGTCCCGCAGTACCACATTCAGCAACGAAAACAATGTCTGACATGCACCGTGGAACAATGAACCGGTTTCTAGTTTATGAAATAAACTTCCTACATGAAATATTTGCATAATGAACTTGAATTTACTGGTTTACTCATCTTGTTGATGATAGGTAGTTCAGCTGTCTTCAACAAAGTCTGATTCCAAATGTTCATCCACAATGTGCAGGTGTTTATGAATGGAATAGAAGCTTTTGTAAAACAGTGTTGTGTGTATGTGTATGGTGGCAATTGATCATCTATCTCTGCATGCAGAGGCGGAGATATATATGAAGACAAACATGTATAAACGTTTTGTTTATTCCAAAGAACAAACAGTTCTCTACCTCTCCCTATAAAAGCTTTGAAGTTCGAGTATATAATACGTTTCTAACTCCATAATAATTGGTCAGGTTCCTTCCTTAAAGACTGTAGATATGCTGCTTAGAACGCTTATAATTTTAGGAACTACAAAGACTCAACTACTTGTAAAAAGCATATGTACCATCAGTTCAACTTTATTCCACTTCTAACTTGTAATTTTGTGCTAAGGCTCAACCTAAATGACTCAAGGATAGATAAAAGATATTTACGACGTTGTAAGCTCGAGTCTTTTGTGTCCTAAAATGTGTAAATTCATTTTTTTAAGGTGTCCCATATGGGATTTGCGTTTAAGATTACCAACTGGTTTTAATGAGCTTCAAAATACTCTTATTCTTTTGAAATGAAATACGGTTTTTGTACCTTACTCAGTGTCGAATAAGAGCACTCAAAGTTAGGCATAAACCCAATTTATCAAACTGAGGATGAGTTTCGAATATTTTAACCCAAGTTTGGCCTCAAGTTATGTTTGTCACACCTAACGCATTATTTTATTTACAGAGAATAAAGATTCCAGAATCAATTCTCTCTAAATAAATTCCAAATGGAAGACTGTATGGGACACATATCGGTCGCATTATGTTACAGATGGATCCACTGACATCTTTCAAAGCTAAAAGTTTATCGACCGCTATTGACTAAATTTGCAGCCTATTCACATCCCTTGGAAGCATTAGTCTGTCCTTCTTGTTATGAACCTATTTCCACAGTTTTTTAACGGCGAAATGTAAAACATTTCTAAAGATACTTACTGAGATAATTTCTTTGTGCGAAATGAATAGAATGAAATTCTCATTACTGGACCCTGATCATAAGTAATTAATTGTGTAAAAAAGACCCAAACCAGTCAATCAGTGGTGAATAGATGCTTTTTTGGGCTTGATGACAAAATAGATATGACCGATCCAACCAAATGCTCTTAATAATCCGTAGTAAGTTACGCCTAACTAAACCTTATGACTGAGAATACTGGTCTGGTTTCCATCACTCTCACGATGTTTGTGATGGAGAGGTCACTCTTCCTGATGTTACGCTATGAATGTGTATGTAAGTTATAGATAATCAGAGATTGTAGATAGTGTAACCTTTGAGGGTACTAAAAGAATGTTCGCTGATCATTAGTTGTTGGGTTGCGTTCTTAAAGGGCAGGACATGCGTTAGCTTCTTCTTACCTGAGCCAACAACTTAAATCAAGGAAAACGCTAGTTCAGTGCTTCAATAAATGCTGAAGTTTTCCGTTGAACTGTCAGAGCTATCGTGGTTAGTTTGAGGCAGCAGGTTTGAAACGTTAAAATACTGATTCTTCCATTCCGCGACGTAGACGTCGTAGGCATTCGGTTCGCCGGTACCCTCTTGACTGAGTGGATCTAAAACTCACACGTTCACACTGATTACAATGATTGGTTCCCATTCGATCTTGTTATTCGTAACCCATCCTTGTTATGATCTGTTCGGACCAGCGTAGATCTCAAATGACAACCGACATGCGTCTACTTAGAGTTCATTAAGAGCACAAATCACTGTCCAATATAAGGAAAAGGTGCCCTCGGCTATCCAAAATCAAAGACCATGTGAACCTTGTTAACGTAAACTTAATTTACAAATGCATTTTTGATAATTCCACATAATTTATACAATCACTGTTAGTAACTAAAACCTTGTCGCCTAAGTCTGACCTTGATTTGCCCGTAAACTTTGTGTCTTGTGCTTGACACACGGATTGTCCCCCACAAATACTTCTGCCTACATGCTCCTTATTTTCGTTTATTCAGCTGACACATTTGCGGCTCAATAACGTTATTTCCGTGCAGATTTACAAATCTTTATTACTGGACTGCTTTCGATCACGTGCCGTGTTCGAGATTATTAACTGCAGGTTATAATTGTGAATCTCGTGTCCGAAACAGAACATACTACTCCTGACAATAAAAGTGGTGTCAAAAATTTCTGTATGTGCATTTATGTAACTGCATATTCTTTACTGACCTGACATCAAAACGGATGTAATGTTGAATAAAACTCATAATGAGTAATTCAATTGAAAATTAACTTTTCTTTCCATCATATCAACTACTCTTTTTTAAAATCCAGAATCGATATCCGGATTTTAATTTTTCGGGTTCATCCTTCCCAACGAAACAGTGTTGGATCCTCATATGCCCAAGTTACAGTTAATTTGAATTTATTTAAAACATATTTGTCGCATGGAGCAGAGAACTGACTGAAAGTGACTGAGTGGTGAGGCTGAAAGACGCTTGATATGAGGTGATAGAAGTTTGATTCTTTTGAAATATTGTGACCAAGTTTGTGGGGAACATCACTAGTAGATAGTGGATCACTATGATAATCAGCGTCCAACAAAACTGCACCAGGTTCTTGATTATTATTTGATGCGTAAGACATATTTTCTGGCAAAACAAAAGAATCCCGATAACTAGATTTGTCAGGAACTTCTATCGAAGAATGATGAGCTTCATTTGGTGCAGCTGCATTCAGCATACTGCACGATTTGTTTTCTGTTTCATGGGTGGTTACTGTGACAGTTCCATGAACATTAAACAGGGAATCTTTTTGTGAGCTGGATACGTCAGTGCTTGCATATTGTGTTTCGGGGACAATGGGATTTGAATCCATTACCGTGCATGTTTCTGAAATAGGCAGTACTGGACCACTGGGTGGGTCTTGAATGACTGCCGTCTCGTTTAAATCACAGCTTGCCAAGGATTCATGGAGGCTGCAATCATTTTCCAGCTCAGTGTGCAATTGAGAAATTAATCCATCCACTTCCGTCGCATCTTCAAATCATGAGTGATTCAGCAGCTGCGTGTGTGATTTCACGAAGAACTCCAACTGTCACCCAAATAGCAGCTGTAATCGATCGAAAGGGAGAGTCGATCTTTTTAAATCAGCACTGGCAATGAAAATTACCGTATGACCAGCGGTTTTTTCGACACAACAATCAGCGACGACCAGATATAACAATTGTCGACGGTGATGGGATAAAAAATACAATCCAAATTAATATGTCTAAAATAAATTCAAATTAATTCTAACTTCCCCACTGTTTCGTGGGGGAGGATGGACCTGGAAAATTCAAAATCCGGATATCAATTCCGGATCTTCAAAAAGAGGGGTTGTTATGCCCCAACCGTAATTTAAACGAAACGGCAGTCATTCAAGATCCGCCCAAAGGTCCAGTATTGCCCGTTTCAGAAACATGCCCGGTACTGGATTCATGTCGCAGTGGATCGGATTGGTGTTGTAGATCACCAACAAAGATGATCTGTGTCGAAATGATTGGAGGCCTACTCGAGTTAGCCATGAATGGTGTGACAAACTAGCTAATGTCGAAGTCACACCTTGTGGTCAGCACCTTACGTGGACTACCCCATTGACGTATCACAGTACCATAGATGCTTTGAAGACTGTACAACACAGAGGACGTTATCACAGAAATATATTAGTTAAGGTAGATGCAGGCGAAAGTAAGACCACTGCCGCATGGGCCAGTCCACGACGTATGATTAACTAATGCGCGTTGCTTGTACATGACCTTGGCAGGGAGCGACAATCTGTTCGACATTCAGTGATCCAACTGCCGGATGATTTGGCTAGGGCTCAGTGACATTTCACTGGCCCTACAATACTCCCCCACTAGATTCAGCGGCCGTTTGAATCGGTACCAAACATGTTGGGAGCAGTCGCGCGCCGGAGAGTGCCAAACGAATATTATAAATCCTCCAGGTATTGCTTATCTGTAAAACAAATGGAAAGGAGGCGGCAGAAACTGGTCGGGAAACAGCGAGTCATAATATGTTAGTAGGACGTTGCTTAAACGTAAATTGATTAACCATAGAAATAATGAAAAGAACAAAGCGTTTAATTGTTCTATCAAGTCGCGCTGAAATATATAGCTTTGACAAGCAATTCAGTTCCTCCGATGACAAACGTTAAGTCTGTCGCAAGAGTAATGATGGTATAGCGATAGTAGGATAAGTGTATTATCAATCGATGTCCTTGTTTGTACTGTCATTAGTTTAAATTTGTAAGTCGGACAGTGTCGTTGACAGCTATTAATTAGTGTCAAATTCTAGTTATATCTATATCTAACAGACTAACCGTAAGTACAGAAGTATAACCGTGAAGAGTGGTCGTGATTTCGTTGTGCGAATCTATTGACCAACTTGTAGTCGCAGTTTGAAAAGTCGATGACTGCTGCTACAGTCAGTAAGGGTTGAAGGCTACAAATCGACAGCAAAGGTGGCACGATGAAGTCTCTAAAAGATGATAAACGGTGAATGCTGCGTGTTTGTTCGGTTAGTGAACAGAAAAATATCGAAAAGAACATAACAAACCAAGAGTATCACTCTGGACTCATGTCAATGATACCCGTGAAAAACGCTGTCAGTGTTGGGATAGAGGCGACAATATCGTTTTCAGTTTGCAGGAGATTCGCTCGACTGTATAAACTGATGATTCGCGCGA